ATATCTAAGCGTGCAATATTTTAGAATTTTCCTTTCCATATTTTGGAGCCCATAAAGGTGTCCACCCCTCAAGCATTTATGTAAACACTGGAGAAAGGTTAGCTCTGTAAACACTGGAGAAAGGTTAACTCTAAGCCCTGATTACCCAAGGGACAAGTCACTTCTGCTTAAGGACAACAAGGAAATAAACTCAGAAACCACAAGCCTCCCAAGAGCCACCAAGAAGTCAGGGGAGGTGGCACACACCTGGAGGTTCCAGCTACTCATGAAGTTGAGGATCATTTGAACCCAGAAGTTTGGGGTAAGCTTAGGCAACACAGTGAGACCTTCCCTCCAAAAAGAAGGGAGAGGAGGAGGAAGAAAGAAAGGAAGGAAGGAAGAAAGGAGGAAAAAAGAAAGGCTAGCTAGCAGGCTTCATTTATGGTGGTGTTCAGTATAGACTCTTAGCCACGCTTGAGTCAGTGTTCTGAGACCTCTCTGGCCCCACTCCATCTGCTCCAAAGCCTGTGGCATCAACTTCTTATCTCCCAAATCCCTAGATCCAGTGAGGTGTAAGCGCATTTCCTATAAACCAGAATGTCTCCAGTTGCCAAATGCCTTGCCTCACCTCACCTCCAGGTAAGATCAAGACACCAGCCTCATGAATATGTTTTGACTGAGGGGCAGCCTCCATGCAAATGACTCCTGGTTAGGGCTCCAGCAGAGAGCATTGCCCACCGCGGAGCGAGTGTGAGATTCGGTTACATAAAGCTTGTAAAGCCATTTGTCCGAATGTGCTAGAGGGAAGGGATCTCTAGGGAGGGTGGCTGCCAGGGTATTTGCAAGGTTGAAAAACAGAGCGGGCAGGAGGAAGCTTTCAGAGGTAATAGCACCAGGTCGGACAAGGACAAAGGAGATCTGTGGCAGATAAGAGGAACTCAGTTCAGGAGCAAGAGTGTCGAAAGGGAAAAGATCATCCTGTAGATAAATAAAAAGAGGGTGTAACCGCCTCCAGGTCTTGAAACCTGCGGACTGGGGACTTTCCCAGGTTAGTCAATGCTCCAATTTCACCCAGGCAGGCCTCTGCCTAGATGAAGAAAGCAGGGTCCCCTGCTTCCTTGGTCCTGGAGAGCTTTGTGCACTTGTTTGGTTGGAGTGTTGGACTAGGCATGTTTTTGCCTGGAGTATTGTTATTTTGAGCCGGGCTGACTGACCTCGGGCGTACTCTGGTTTGTCAGCGCCCACAGGGTGCCTCGTTTACCTTCCCACAGCTGCAGGGAAACCTGTTACCCGACTCCCTGTCTCCTCCCACTTCTGGCTTCTAGTCCTGGTTGACATGACTCAGCTAAGTAGAGATACTGGCCAGGCCGAGCCCCTGCACCCCAGTGGGGTTATCTAAGGTTTACCTAAACACATCCTCTAAGGGCCAAGAAAGTTAGGTGCTGAGGTGCTGGTTTGGGACTGGAAAGGTAGGGTAGATAAATAGGCACAGAAAGCCCAGGGGTAACCGAAAAGATGGGCCCAGCAGAGAGGGCCCATCCTTGGCCCACTCCTTGGCCCCTTCTAGTCTGACGCCCTTCTCATTTCAAACAGGAGAAGCCAGCCTGGGGCAGGGAGAGAACTGGGGGGCGATGTAGGGGGTGGGAAGTGGTAGAGAGAAAATTAGGGTGAAATGAACTGAAGGTCGTCCATACTAGGAAGTGGTGACCCTACCTGTGCACCTGGGCTTGTGATGGGGCCCTTACGTTTCCTTCCACTAGAGGGCCATCCTAGGTTAACCTGCTTTTAGAGATGCCAAGGAACTGTGGGAGTCAGGAACAATACTCTTCATAAGTCACCAGGTCCCGGATGCCATTGCAAGATGCACATATGCTGTTGCCAGGATTCAGAGGCCTCCGTTCCTCAGATTGAGACAATCTGTTTACTTGGACTAAAACAGTTAAAAGACATCGTAAGCTGCCTTGAATCTGAGCCCCTTTCTTGTAGAAAACCCCCACCTATTGTTCAGCTTTTTGTGTTTTCTTTTTAAGACAAGATCTTATCATGTAGCCCAGGCTGGCCTTGGGAACTCCCCCGCCCCACCCCGCCTTCTCAGCCTCCTGAGTCCTGGAATCACAGGCATACACCTCATGACGTTTTTGTTAGTTTTCTTGTTTGTTACATCTGTTTGTCTTTAATCCATTTAATTCTCAGAGAAAATGTCTTGCTGTGTTTCCTACTCTGGCCCTAAGCTCCTGACTTAACCTGTTCTCCAGTCTCAGACTCCAGAGCAGCTGGATCGACAGGTGCGCACTTCCGTGTGGGGCTCTACCTTAGTTTAATAGGAGGCAGAACCATCTATCTGCAGACACGGAACACATGTGTTCGCCTTCCTGGTGCTCCATCGACCGAGGAGGAGCACGCAGGACTAAGGCCAAAAGGGCCAGGGCCATGGCTTTGAACTTGAATTTGGGAGTTCCTCTGCCAAAAAGCAGAGAACATTTATTTCCAAAGAGTAGCAAAGGTCGTGAGATGCGGTGTTTGCAGCCGGCTGCCAGCAGCGACACCTAGTGTCCTCGCGGTGGCTTAGTCTTGTACCAGGCCCATCCTGCCAGACCTATGTCTGCAGCCTTCTTGGTGGTTTTGTGAGTAGCCATCAGTTGTTCATGAACGATGTTAGAGTTTGTATCTATGGGTTTTTAAAAGGATTTATCTGTATGTGTATGTGTGAGTACCCGTGTGAGTTTATGTGCAGCACATGCACGCAGGTGCCTGGGGAGACCAGAAGAGGGTGTCAGATCCCCTGAAATTGGAGTTCCAGCTGGTTGTGCTCTGCTTGATGTGGGTGCTGGGAACCCGCCCTCTTGCAAGAGCACTGAACCAGCTCTCCAACCCGGTCCATGGATTTTTTAACGACCTGACACAGACCTTAAACTCTAACACAGACATTGGCCAAAGTCCTAGAACCAAACAAAATATTTCAAAGAAGTGAAGTTGGAGCAGAGATTGCCTTCATGAGGAATTCAGAACACGGCTCCTTCGAACAAACTGTTAGCATGTTAATCGGGGTGGGAAGGGAGGGGGGAGTGACAGAGGGAAACGGATGGGGCCTGGGTGGGAAGAGGCGATAGCAACAGATTTGATAAATGAGCTGAGAGGGTGGACACACAGGGTAGGGCTGCTGTCCCAGCATAGGCTTTGGCCAACCCAATCAACAACACCCCCCACCCAACACACACACACACACACACACACCCCAAAAGCTCAGGGGACTCAATGTGGTTTTCTATCCAGCTAATTCATGTAGTCATCAGACAGATTTGCGCCTGTGCACAATGGGTCCCACAACCATCCTGCACTGTTCCCTATCTCAGTGGTGTTCCTGTGGTCCTGAACCTGAAACCTGGGCCAATATGGCCTTACCTCCTTCCCAGGCCATGTTCTTCTGTAGGCTGTGTATCTCAAGTTTGAATTCCATGCTGACTCCCTGTGGCCTGGTCACTGAATGAGTTGGGGAAGGTGGTGGGGTGGGGACGACAGGGGAAGGAGGGGAGAGGCACCTCCGTTAAGTTCTAGAAAGCCAGATTAGCCAAGCCAATCTTGTCTTTTTTGTGTTTCTTGTGGATGGCACGCATGCCTGCTCTTCGACTCCCAGCCACTTCTGCAGATCGCGGCCCTGGTACGTGGGCACAGGAAGAGCTGGGCTGCACGGGGCTTCGCAGAGGCTGCAGGCAGAAGGCCTTAAAAATTCACAGGGTTCCTATGAAAGCCATTTTAGAGTTCACTAATGCAGTCATGCTCCTAGATCCTGTGACTCCAAAATAAATAATGCCTATACAGTCCTTGATCTTACCTATGGCTTTCCTAAAGCCCTTGTCGGGCTCCTCAGCCAGCTCTGTGCTTTCTCCACAGGCTGCGGCACTTCAGACACCGAGCTCACCCACCCACTCAGTCACTCCTTTTCAGGGTCTTGTTCCATTCAGCAACTCACCCTTCACCTTTACCGTCTTCACATGTGAGCGACCCAGAGGTTGAGAATCTGAGGTCCAACCTCCAGGGCCTCGTGTTGTAGAAACAACATAACATAGAACGAAGACAAAGACAAAAGCAGCTTCCTGGCGGGCTAGAAGGGTTCTGAAGGAGGTTAACACAGGCAGGCTAAGCCAGTGCCTGCTGGTGATACCAATAATCCCAACACACAGGAGGCTGAGGCAGGAGGATCACGAGTTTGAGGCCAGTCTGGATTACAAAGTGAGTTTCAGAGCAGCCACGGTTACACAACAAGACCCTGTCTTAAGCAAACAAACAAATATAGCAGGCCAACAATTCTCAACCTGTTGGTTGAGACCTTATGGGGGCGGCTGTCAAATGGCCTTTTCACAGGGACCACCTAAAACCATTCGAAAACACAGGTATTTACATTATGATTCTTAACAGCAGCAAAATTACAGTTATGAAGTAATTTCATGATTGGGGGTCACCACAACCTGAGGTACTGTATTAAAGGATCACAGCATTAGGAAGGTTGAGAGCCACTGCGATAGGCAGATTTGGTGCAGGTGTGGCCTGGGGAGACTTCCTAGAGGAGTCCTTCTGCTTCATCTATGGGTATGTCACCCTAATGGCAGCGTGCCAGGGCAAACAAAAGCTTGAAACAAATGTGGACATCTTCCTGGAGTTTCCTTTTTCTTGAAGAAAGGAGGAGACAGTGAGAAGTATTAGTTTACTATAAATATTCATCAAAGGAAAATGTAAAATTTCCTCTGACGTTTCAACATTAAACATGACGTTTTGAGAAGTTTCTCATGTGTAAAAACCTATCCTCCATATTTTCACTCTTCTGACTGTGGTATGACTCCTCTCTCACATGTCCAGCTTCCCCTTTTAGTGACTCATCCTTCCCTGGAAATTAGAGGCACATATCTCTTGGGAAACATTGACATTCCTTTTCTTGGTCTCAAGGTCTTTCAGACAGGCCTCCCTGCCCCAAGACTGTCCTATCACCATTGCCCTACAAAGTGACTTTTCATGGCTCTACAAACCAAAACAATATGCCCAGCTACTTCACAGGTCTCGGTTCTCTCTAAGCAGTGCCATTTGCCTGGATTGCTTCCTGCTGCCACATTCATCTGGCAAACTCCTACTCATCCTTCAAGGCCTTGCTCAAGGGATCCTCTTCTGTGCCGCCTCCAAGCAGGCCCAAGCTAAATGAGTCTGTTCCTCCGTGTGCCACTCCAGAGTAGTTTTCTTTGTCTTCCTTGTGCTGAGACTTTTTTTCTATGACCATTCCTCTGACTTGATTGTGGGAGCTGGGAGAGGGAAGACTTAATTATTATTCATGCATATATCCTTACTCCTAAGTCCAGTGAAGGATATGATAGATGTCTATAAACACACACACACACACACACACACACACACACACACACACACACACACACACACACACTGGGGGCTGGAGAGATGGCTCAGAGGTTAAGAGCACTGACTGTTCTTCCAGAGGTCCTGAGTTCAATTCCCAGCAACCATGGTGGCTCACGGCCATCTGTAATGAGATCTGGTGCCCTCTTCTGGCCAGGAAGCATACAGACAGACAGAACACTGTATACATAATAAATAAACAAATCTTTAAAAAAAAAGAAAAGAAAAACAAAACACACACACACACACACACACACACACACCACGGTTATTCAGCCAGGGCCTTTTGTATATACGCCTACATATTCACACTTTCCTGGGGAAGTGTGAATAAACTCCTGTTCACCCCCAGAACGGTGCAATGATGACAGAGCTAAGAAAACAATCTCGTGTGGGGAAATGATGAGTTCAGCTGGGGTTATTTACAGCAGCATAGGCAAGCTACGGGTGACACCATGGAAAAGCATCTCCCTCCCTAGCAATTATTAGCCACTTCTGTGTCCCCAAGGAAGGATGGGCGCCGGAGACATCTCATGAGTCCCTCACACACCACTCATGCTACCTCGTGACCTCTGTGAGCTCTGTGCACTTCTGCATGGGGGTTATTAGTGGCCCAACCATGTGAATGCCTCATGCAGTCACGCCGTTCCAAGACAGAGGCAGCCTGTCGTGCCCCGAGCGCACAGTTCCCCGAGCCCACAGTGCCCCAGCACACAGTTACCCAACACTCCACTCTTCTCTCCGGCTGTTACATTTCTCCACTCTCTCTCCTGCCACGTTCCCTGAGCCTTGGATATGATATGAACGTGGGTTGCTTTTCCCCACTTAAAGCTGAGCATGGTTCCACTATACCATTCATACTCTCAGCAGTAACCTCCACCTCTCTACAAAGACGCTTCCGTGGCCAAGAACCAGAGGAGCAGTAACCCAGGGTGTAAACACAATGCTTAGAAGGCAGATGGACAGGCCTGTCATAGTCATTTCATGAGACAACCGCAGTAACTTCTCCACTAGGGACATCTGTCCTAAGACACCAAGCATGTGTCCCTTTCTGGAAAGTGGGCCTGAGATTCAACTAGAAAGCAGGTGGTTGCTCTCATAACAGGTGTGCTCCTGTTGTGCCAGTGGGCACATCTTGCCTGGCATGTCATAGTATCGCATGCAGAGTCCTTACCGAACAAGATCGTGGATGACAGTTTTCCTCGCAGCCGTCTGCAGAGTTCCTTCTGGCACCACAACAGCCAAGGATCAAGGAAGGATCTCTGAGGTCAACTCCAGTCTGATTTCTCCATATCTTGCAACTAAAGTGTGTGGTATCTTCAGCAGTAGGGTCTCCAAGTCCAGTGCTGGCATGCACTCAAAGACAGTGGTAATAGCCAGTCTTGTGTAGGGGGCCTCAAGGACATCTCTGACCAACATCTCATAAGATGGAGGTCCATTTCTGGCACTGAGATTTTCACTCAATAATCTTACAGCACCTGGCGGTGGTGGCGCAGACCTTTAATCCCAGATCTCGGGAGGCAGAGGCAGGCAGATCGCCAAGTTCAAGGCCAGCCTGGTCTATAAGAACTAGTTTCAGGACAGCCAGGGATACACAGAGAAACCCTGTCTGAAAAAAAAAAACCAAAACCAAAAACCAAACCAAACCAAAAAGACCCTTATAGTTTCTGGGAGTGTTTTTTCCCATTCAGGCAAGGTACCTTAATTCAAAGTCTTTAACCATTATTTTATGTTATAGGCACCGGTTGTAGGATTCTTGTCAATCATCCTGTTGGATGTCACTTACGTCTTAGGCAACCATAAACCCCCTGAATACCACCATGATGCCTGGCCCTTGCACCCTGTGTGAACTGTTTCCCACCCTTGCTCCTTTGGGTGCTTACTCCACTCTCAATGCGTTTCTAAACCTGTAAAACACATTGAGCATCAGATAACGAAACCTTTGTGCGAAGGGTGGGCAGGATCTCCGATGCCCCACCACCACCAACCATTTCAAGCAAGCGCCAACTGATCTTGAGATTTGGCAGCGAAGGTGATGCTTGAAAATAACGTTAGCTAGTGAGTTCACAGCTGCTTGAAAACATCTCGTCGCTTTGCACCAGCTGTTCCCTCCAAAGAGCAGTGCAGGTTGTGGCGTCATGGATGAGAGGCGTGATCTGATTTAGGATTCTATACCCACGGCCATTCTCCATTCATCCATTTCCCCACCTCGGATGCGGAGGCAACGTCCCCACACATGTCCTCACTCCAGAAAGGCTTAGTAAGTCTGGCTCCCACTGCTTCATCCGCTATGAGGCCATCGGGAGTGGAACTGCACTATAGTTTGCCACACAGGCCCTGGCTTCCTGCTCTGACAAGCTCTAGAGTGGTTGCTTCCTTCCTATTGGTCACATTTGCCTGGGCTTGGTGAGTAACCTCCGCCCTCGGAGGGGGAAAAAACGTATTCAGCGTCATCTGGGGAGAGAATTGCCCACCCCTGGGAACAACTTACTCCGTTTCACATTTACTGTGCTGCCATTCACTCCTGATACCCCCAAGGAGGCTCGCAAGCGCTGACTCTGGCTTTCTGACAGTTTTTCCCTCTAGGAACTCCAACTCCACAAAAATCTTGCCACATTCGCTTTTGAGACCTGGAAAATCTCTGGGTCTGCTTTTCCTTTTTCTAGTCCTGCATTGCTTGCTTTAGCACTTCATGGGCATGATTTACGCGCCAGCAACAGTCACTCAGACCCACCAGGGCTCCTCCTATCTTCTAAAGAAAACAGCTCACCACAGCGTTCGGCAAAACCACTAGGCACCACAGGCCTGAGGTCCCCGCTCACCAGCTTCTTTCCTGGCTCCCCTGTGCACACAGCCCTATCAGGTCAAGGGAGCTTAACCACAAACACTGCCTCTCCTACACCCAAGTGCCTCAGTAATGCTCCTCCTCCTTCCATGATCTTCCAGCCTCGATATTCACCGGACCTGAGTCAGTAATAATCAAATGCCCCTAACAGGACTGGCTTCTCTCATATCATCTCAGATACGCAACCTCTGAGTCAAGGATGCTGGAGTCGCTAGCTGTCTTACTCGGTTTCCTTGCGTCCACAGCATTCGAACTGACCCCACCCACCCCCACGTTCCATATTCTCTCCAGCTAAGGTTGCAGGCACTGTATGATTTTTTGGTGAAGTCTTTTCTAGTTAAAGCAGTTCAGAGGAGTCTGCAATTGTCAGTGTTTTTTTTTTTGCACTGGATCATGTGTAAGGTCTCTAGCTGCTTGCTGAATTATGGGTTTTCTCTTCCTCTGTATTAAAGGTTGGCCCTGAAGGGCATTTCCTGTTCTCCTTCCACCCCGCCCACTGTCAGATTGTTCCTATGGGTTCCAAGTTCTTGGATCTCAGGAGGGACTATTTAACAGATCTAATTTGTATTCTCTTTCCCTTCTATTCTTCACACGCCCCACCCCAAGCAGCAGCAAGCCAATGCTTTCTCTTCTTCCCTCTTGTTTTCCACATTTCCTGCCAATTAAGAGGCTATTAAAAACGATAGAATCCAAACATGGTTTTCAGGTTGCAGTTTCTCCCTTAGATGAGCAAGTTCTTCCTGGGCAGACAGTTGAGCCACAGTTGCATGTACGTCTTCCCTCCACTCCCCATACTTACGCATGCATGCACACATATGTAGTCAGAGGAGAGCTTGTGGGAATCAGTTTTCTCCTTCAACCATGTGGGTGTAGGGGATCGAGCTCAGATCATCATGCATGGTGACAAGTGTCTACCCAATGAGCTGTCTTTCAGGATCCTCATGCCTTATTGTCAGAGCAAAGGTCACACGACTGATCCCAAAGCCTTCTTAGGAACTTATTTTAGGGGATTGCAAAATATTTTCTACCGTCAACCATTTGATGGTGTCGGGCAATGATTCTCATACTTATGTGGCAGCCTCCACTCATCAAGGAGGGGTGTCATTCATGCCACCTGGAGGAGGGCGGCCATGCTGGGATCCCTTCCACAGACACTTCGCCTTCGGAGGACACAGTCCTAGCTGCATGACAGCAACAGCACAACTGCTGCTACAGCCAAGAAGGGTACCACGACATACTAAGCAGAGAAGGGCGCTTATGTCGGGGTCACCTCTGAAACCGCTCCACCTGCAAACAGTAAGTATCTTCAGTTGTGCGCCGCACCACCAGAGTGGGGACATCTTTGGTTATTCCATATGGTTATTTGGCTGCCAACTAGAAATAATTTTCCAGGGGAGATGTTAAAAAAAAAATTCTGTTCGCCCCTAATAGGACACTCAGGACAGACAAAAGAAACGTTTTAGTCAGGCATGGCGGTAAACACCTTTAGCCCAAATACTTTAAATCTGGTTTCATCGTCAGATGGAGCTCTGTGAATCTGAGGCTGGCACAGCCTACTACATAGGCAGATTCCAGGCCAGTCAGAGTTACATGGCAAGATTCTATTGTCATCCCCACCCCCCTACCCCATTGAAATCTAGCTTGGCGAGTCAATGAATTTAATTGGGATTATTTACAGAAGCATGGTTGAGAAAGAATTTAAGAAAGCTCAGGTTTTATCTTCATCACTGCAAAAACAAACTCAAGCCTGCAACACACGCCCTGAAGGGGTGAAAGGGCAGCAGCATTAGCAGCGAAGGACCTTTCTCTGTGGCAGTGACTCGGCCCTTGTATGTTCTCAAGAGGTGCTGCGGCCTTATGAGTATCTCGCACACTGCCATGGTGCCTCCCGGTGATCTACCCATGTCTCCATGTGAACTTTGCGAGCCCTCGCCCGTCCATAAGGAAATGCCAGTGTGCCTCTCACACAGGTTGCCCTAGCTACTCTGGTGTCGAAGGTGGTAATGGCCATGTCATCCTTTAAGGACAGCGTTCTACAACAAGACAGCTGCCCTGGAACTATTTGTGTAGCTCAGGCTGGCCTTGAACTTGTGACCCCTCTGTCCCTACCACCTGAGTGCTAGGATTATAGGTGTATATTACTACTCTATAGATACCTTTTATAAAAATGAATACAGATTATTTTGACTTCTCTTTTGGTTTTAGAGTCAAGATAAGGAAGTCATCAAGGTTCTCACAAACTTGGAAAATGTGAGGAAAACAAAATCGTCACAATGATAAAAGCAAAATTCTCTGTATCAAGCAGGGGTCTCTGGAGGAACAGAATAAACACACGCATTCATATGTGTGTGTGTAACGATGATTCTGTGGAATGGAGGTGATGTCCACGAAGTCTCAGGTTTCATCCTCAGCACTGCAAAAGCAAACCAAAACCAACAGCACATCTTGATGGGGGTGACAGAAATGAATGCCACCATCAAAGACTTGAAAGATGCAGGGGTGGCGGTCCTTACACCTCCCTTTAACTCTCCCATTTGATCTGTGCAGAAGACAGATCATGAAGAACGGCAGTTGAATATCACAAACCTAACCAAGCAAAGATTCCAGCTGTAATTGCTGTTAGATGTGAGTGTTCTCATTTGCACAAATTAACACATCTCCTGGCACTGAGGATGCAGGTAGTGAAGTGACCTAGAAGATGCTTTCTCTTAGCTCATGTACATGAGGACCGCTAGACTGCTTTCATCTAACAAGGCCAGTAGTACACCTTTACAGACATTCCTCAAAGGTATATTGATTCTCTAGCCTCGTTCAAAGCGATCTTGATCACATTTTCCTTCCACAAAATGGTCCTCTATATTGGCAACATTATGCTGTTTGAGTCAAGTAAGCAGAGGGTAGCAACCACTTTGAACTCATTGGTAACATATGCAAATCAGAGGATGGGAAATAAATCCAAACAAAACTCAAGGGTCTTCTACCTTAGTGAATTTTTTAGGAGTCCAGTGTGGGGCACGCAGAGACATTCCTTCTAAGGCGAAGGGTAAGTAACTGCACCTGGCCCCTCCCACCACCTAGACAGAAGCACAACGTTTAGCCGATTTGGATTCAGGACACAGCACATTCCTCATTTGGGTGTGTTACTCCGGCCCATGGACCAACTGACTTGGAAAGCGGCTAGCTTTGTGTGGGGCCTAGAACAGGAGAAGGCTTTTTTAATAGGTCCAGGCTGCTGTGCTGGCTGCTCTATCACTTGGACCATATGATCCAGCAGCCCTGATGGTACTTCAGGTGGCAGTGGCAGATAGGGATGTGGTTTGGAGCCTTTGGCAGGTGAATCCACAGTGGAGGCCCTTGGGATTTTGGAGCACGGCTCTCCATCATCTGCGAACAACTGTTGGCCTGCTACTGAGCCTTAGTGGAAATTCAACTTTAAATATATATATATATATATATATATATATATATATATATATATATTACTTTTTATTTTATACCCATTGCTGTTTTGCCTGCACGTGTGTCTGTGTGAAGGTGTCAGAACTCCTAGAGTTGTAATCACAGACAGTGGGTGCTGGGAATTGAACCCAGGTCCTCTGGAAGAGTAGCTAGTGCTCTTCACTCCTAAGACATCTCTCTAGCCCCAGAAACTAAACTGTTAATGATGGACTACCAGATTACCATGTGGCCTGAGCTGGTCATCACAAGCTGCCTGTTATCTGGCCCACCAAGCCACAAAGCTGGATAAACACAAATGCCATCCATTATCAAATGGAAGTGGTATATATAATTGGGATCGAGCGAGCACTGAAGGCACAAGCAAGTTCCATGATGCCTCTGCTTTCTGCTTCTTTTACAATGCTTTCTGTCCCAAGCACACCCTACAGCTTCATGGGGTGTGCCTTATGCTTGTTGATTAAGGAAGAGAAGACTAGGCTCTGGTTTACAGACTATGCATGCTGTGCAGGCACCACTGAAAAGTAGACAGCTGCAGCCTTCCTGCCTCTGTCTGGGAGTAAGGGGCCTTAAAGGGCACAGGTAAAGGGAAATCCTTACAGTGGACAGAACGGACAATGGTCATATGTTTTGCTTGGAAGGAGAAACGGCCAGATGTGGGGTTTTCTATTGATCCACGTGGGAGGTAGCAGAAGTTCAAAGTCATCCTTTGCTATGCAGTGAACTTGAGGTCAGCCTGGGCTTCATGAGCCCCTGCCTCCCCCCCCACCCCGCCCCAGGAAAGGTGTCACAGTTTCCATCTAATTTTCCTATAAATATTCATGCTTTATAACCCATGTGATTCTACCAAAGCTCGCCGGATTGATGTGGTTCATTGACCTTGAATTTACTAGAACAGTTTGAGTCCGTAGTAACCACCTGGCAAAGGAAAACGATGTCGTGGAGCCCAGTCAAGTTGCCCTGAGTTACTGTGTTGACGGTGGGGCTAGCACAGATCACATTCAGACACTGTTCTAAGTCTCTTGCGCATGCACACACCATGACAAATTTAATCCTCATAACAACCCTATCAGGTAACTATTATTATAATCATTTAAAAGAAAACAAGGAAACAGACTCTTGTTTGCAATCAGATAGCTAAGCGAGAGAGTTGAGAGTCAGGCTCAGTAAGTCTTGCTGTGGGTTTGCTTTTCCAATGCTATATTACCCCCACAAACAACACACCTCTCCCGCTAAAAACATCAGGCAGAAGAGGAAAGTGCCCTTCCACAACTGATAATCTCAGGCTTCTGGGTCTCTCGTCCTGCCAAGGTGCACAGCATTACCTGGCACAACCCAGACCCCGAGGCCCCAGTCTCCCCCCCCTAGCTATATTTCTACTTCACCATGGAGAGAACCATTTCTTTCCCTTGGCCTGATTCAACTTACAGCAGAGTCCTCGGCAGCCTTCTTGGAAAACCAGTTCCCTGCCTCCCTGGTGACCCTGGCTGGTGAAACCAGTGAGGCTGCTTTCCTAAGGCCTACTGGACTAGGTCATTTCAGCAGATAAAAATGACTTAGCTAAAACCCAGAGCTGAGAAAAGAGTAGACGGGAGTGGGGAGGAAGCTAATTCCCCAGGGTGGGAGGGTGGGATGGAAAAGTAGCTCGGCTTGCCCTTGGTGACTGGGGGCCTTACCCACAAGGGTGTGCTGCTGAGAGTCAGTCGGCCTTCTCTAGTCTTCCAGTTTCACAACTTTGGAGCTATTTTTCTTCCCTTTCTAGGCAGATGCTTTCTCATCAATTAGGAAACACTGCCATCCTGTGGCTATGCGTTGATACATGCGCCAACCTGCAAATTGCTGAAATTTCAATGGCATTGTTTAATGATTAAACCAAAAGAGCACACCTATTGAGTCCACTGGCTGAAGAAAAGCCAGAGTGACCTTGTAAAGAAGGATGCTCACTGGAGTCTTCAAAGAACAAACAAACAAACGGAAAAACACCTGGATTCAGCGCTCTGAACTCTGACTTCGCTTTTAAAAATCTAGCCTAAGCCTTTAGCGATCCTGGTGGCAAAGATGTCATCTACTCCCAGCCACGGTTGGTTTAGAATCCTACGCACGGTGGCTCTGCATAGACGCTGCCCCTTCCAGGGCAGTTCACATCAATCTGTCTCCAGGCTATTTCCCTCGGCTGGCGCAGGCCCTGTTTCCACTCCTAGGTCTGTTCGCCCTGTATCCTCCCACGGTAGGCTAAACCTAAATTCAAATTTAGGTTTGAAAAAAGAAAATTCACTTTCTTTTTTGAAGCTGAACGATTTTGGCGTATGTCAGCTAACGTCTTTAAGCATCAATTACTCCATCCATTTATAAAGTGGAATAGCAACTTCGTCATAGGGCTATTGTAAGAATGAAATGACAAAGTGTGTGTGTGTATGAAGATTGCCTGGAACATCACAGGTCTTGGTTGTGGGAAGTCATATTCCCCGTGAAGGCTTGCTAGTATTGTCCATTGGAGGCCCAGTAATTTGATGTCAGAGGTTTACAGGATCCTCAACATCAAACCCGAGAATGGAAGAACTCTTTCAGGCTTTAGAGACCACCGCTATTTTCACGTGTGGGCAGCCGGCCGAGCACGGATTGCAACCCGGCTCTTCTTGCGTGCGCAGTCGGCTGCAGGTGCGTGGGCGTGAGCCCTGCGGCGCCGAGAGGCGCGGGGAGGGGCGGGGCGAGGCTACTCATTCCTCGCGGTTCCCTATCCAGGACTGGAGGTTGCGTGTGGATAATTCAATCCCCGTGGGACTCGGCGTCAGGCCTCGGCCCAGGCTCGGTGGATTGGCTGTCTCGCTTGCCCCCGCCCTCGGTACTCACCCCCCACCCCCACCCCGTGTCCCAGGTGGCTCGGGCCCCTGTGGTGATCTCTGTTTACGGAGAGAGCGGGTCCAAGTTGGGCTCCATCTCTGCACTGGCTGGCGACTCGGCAGAACCCTGCCTGCCAGGAACGCGCGGAGAAAAACCGGCCGAACACACCTTCGCCCTTTCCCTACTCCCAACGCCGGGAGAGGTCGGGTAAGAGAAAGAGGGTGCGGGAAGGAGGAACCCTGGCCTGGGGGATCCTGCTGTTCCCCCATTCCAGGACCTCACGCGCACCCAAGACTTCTATCCCTAGGCCTGGTTCCCGCGCCCATGCTCGGGGCGACGTGCCCACCCTGGGCGAGCAGCCCGAGGCTGGATCTCAGGGACGTCAGCTCCCTAGCGGAGGCCCAGGCGTGGAGACTTCATTCACAGGTGTTTCCCCACCCCAGCAGACGGCGATGACCCCCAAGCCGGCCGGACCCCCGGACGGGGGCTGGGGCTGGGTGGTGGCGGCCGCAGCATTCGCCGTGAACGGGCTCTCCTACGGGCTCTTACGCTCCCTGGGCCTTGCCCTCCCCGACCTCGCGGAGCACTTTGAACGAAGCGCCCAGGACACTGCGTGGGTCAGCGCCCTGGCCTTGGCCGTGCAGCAGGCAGCCAGTGAGGGGGGGCCCCGGAGGTGGGAGGCGGGAACAGGGTGGAGAGGCCGTGAAGGTAGTGATGGGAGACTTGATTACCAGACAACCTGAGAGCTACTGGTGGAACCAAGTTCTAGAAGAGTGGGTCTTGAGGTCAAAGGGAGGAGTTACCAGGCCAAGCAAAACAGCCAATGAGAAGTATTGGAGATAGTTTGGGGATCCCGGGGCATGTCTTCGTTGACTTCGCCCCCTTCTAGGCCCAGTGGGCAGCGCCCTGAGCACTCGCTGGGGGGCACGCCCCGTGGTGATGGTTGGGGGCGTCCTAACCTCGCTTGGCTTGGTCTTCTCGGCTTTCGCCCGAAGCCTCCTACACCTCTACCTCGGCCTGGGCCTCCTCGCTGGTAAGAAGAAAGGGATTGCTCATATGCTTCAGGGATGATAATGCGGACAGGAGCTTCTTGTGGGGTAGGGGACCGAACAAGGCTGTGTGTGTGTGTGTGTGTGTGTGTGTGTGTGTGTGTGTGTGTGTTCGTGCGCATGGAGGGGAGAAGCGGGTCTAAAGAATGCTAAGAAAACCATCCTCGTACCCCTATCCTGTCCTATCCATTTGCAGGTTCCGGCTGGGCCCTGGTGTTCGCCCCTTCCCTGGGTACACTCTCTCGGTACTTCTCCCGCCGTCGGGTGTTGGCGGTAGGGTTGGCGCTCACCGGTAATGGGGCATCCTCGCTGCTCCTGGCACCTGCCTTGCAGTTCCTCCTTGATACTTTTGGCTGGCGGGGTGCCTTGCTCCTCCTTGGCGCTGTCACCCTCCACCTCACACCCTGTGGCGCCTTGCTACGACCTTTGGCTCTTTCTGGTGACCCCCTAGCCCCACCTCGAACTCCCTTAGCTGCCCTTGGCCTAGGTCTCTTCAGGCGCCGAGCCTTTACAATCTTTGCTTTGGGCACCGCCTTGATTGGGGGCGGATACTTCGTCCCCTACGTGCACTTGGGTCCGCACGCTTTAGATCAGGGTATGGGGGGTTACGGGGCAGCGCTGGTGGTGGCTGTCGCTGCAGTGGGAGATGCGAGTGCCCGACTGGTCAGCGGATGGCTTGCAGACCAGGGCTGGGTGCCCCTTCCGCGCCTTCTG